GGTGAGGACCACCCCTTCTAGCCCTATCCTAGCCGCCCCTCCCTTCCCAATGCCTCAGAGCATTAGGAGTTCCATCATAGGTCTGGGAGTTGGGGTGGGGCCTCAAAGAGAAGGGGTTCTGCGGGCTGGGAAAGGCCATTATGGGCACCCATATGGAGGGATGCTCAGCTAATAGTCTTAGCCAGCTGGGCTTGCTGAAGGCGGGGGGATAGAAGCACTCAACGGGAAGTCTGCCATCTTATTGTGGCACTTGTGAGGTGAGGGATTATATGGTTCAGGCAACTTCACTGCACCTCAGAGTCTTCACCATAGGTTGGGTATTCCTCCCTGACCTCCAAATCCCAGTGAGACGTGAAGATATCACACATGCTCTTGGCTCTGGGTGGTGACCCCTTCTTAATTGGCCACTTCCACTTTTCTGCTGGACCCCAGAAGGCAGAATGCAGTCTGACGGCACTGGGGTCCAGGAGTTCTGGGAACACCTGCACTTAGCCACACCTGAACTTTTTAGTAGTATAAGCCTATGCATTAGTGTGTGGTTTTGTGTGTACATGAGTGTGTGTGTGTGTGTGTGTGTGTGTATGTGTAGGACTTATGAGATGGCTCAGTGGTTAATAGTGCTTGCTGGTCTGGTGTGGTGGTGCAAACCTTTAATCCCAGCACTCTTGAGGCAGAGGCTGGTGGATCTCTGGTTTTAAGGCCAGCCTGGTCTACAATGTCTTGAAAAACAAAACAAAGCAAAAAGGATGCTTGCTGACCTTGTGGAGGATCTGAGCTCAGCGCCCAGAATCAAGAGTCTCACACTAATCAGCAACTCCAGGGCGAGAGTGTCTGACGCCTTTTTTTCTGGCCTCTGAGGGGAGCTGCACACAGACACATGCACGCACGCACGCACACACAGACTAAATAAATCTTTAAGATTAAATGGAACACCAACTGAAAAGCCACCCTTCTCCAGCTTTCCACAGCAGCTTTACAGACTCACACCCCGGTGCCAGGCCTTTTACATGGGAGCACGTGGGTGCTGCTGGGGATCAGAACTTGGGTTCCCACACCTGCACAGCGGGAACAGTACCGACTGACTGCGGCATCTCCCCAGCCCTGGGCTCATATTCTATGCCAGAATTCTTTCAGTTGTTATTTATCACTCATTTACATTATTTTTAAATATGTGTATGTGTGTATGTGTGTCTACCTGTATGTGGTGGTGTGCACTTGAGTACAGGTGGCCACAGAGACCAGAGGTAGCAGATTCCCCTGGAGCTGGCTGTGACTCAGCTGATGTGGGTGTTGGGAGCTGAGCTCAGGACCTTGGAAGAACAGTCATGCTCTTAACCACCAAGCCACCGTCCCTCCTGCCCCTGTGCTAGAATTCTTAAATTAAACCCTTTTTCCTCATCAGCACATTTTTGGTTCAGAAGTCTTAACCGATGGCCTGGAGAGACGGTTCAGGAGTTAAGAGCACTTGCTGCTCTTGCAGAGCACCCGGCTTTGGTTCCAGCCCTCGTGTCTGGCAGTTTGCAGCCACCTGTAACGCTAGCTCTAGGCAATCCATGCTTTTTAGGGCACCTGCCCTCACATCCACAGCCCCTCCCCCATAGACACATTTTTTAAAAAGTCCTTAAAAAACCAAGAAAACAAGAAACTTCAGTCAGTTCAGTGCCTCTATTCCAGGGCTCCTCTAATGGGAAGGAGAAGAAGCTGCTTCTAGAGCAAACAGGAAAGGAAAAAAAGATGAGGGACTTAGAGGATGTTACTTGAAGCTCCTGGTTCAGCAGTCTTGAAGCCAGGGTCCCTTCTGGAATTTTCTGGATAGGGATCACTAAATTTCTTTACACAAATCCCATGCACTACCAAGAGGGATTAACAATGTTTCTGTCCTGAGACAGAGAAAGGCCTGTTGACTGGGCTGCTTGACAATCTCATAAGGCACAGTGTGGGCACCCTGGGCCCAGGCCCTGGGTGTTTGTTCAGTGGCTCAGGAGGTGTGGATGGATTTTATCGTACGTTCATTAAAGTTCCAGTTTAATTAATTACAAAAGCTTTTAAAAAATCACCCAAGTAGGTGAGTCTCCTCTTGAATCGCCAGGAAACCCCGAGCTGGCAGCTGACTCATCCAGAGTTTTCCACGAGTTTCGGTTTTGTAAACGGCTCTTTGAGTTCTCCAACTTTTGGCTCCCTGCTGGCTTACAACAGAATGTTTTTGCACTCTGTGGTTCGACATCAGAAGTTTGCCAGAGCGTTTTCCTTACCAGTCTGCCAGAAGGCCCCTTCTCCGGGCCTTCATCTCTCCTTCCCTCTAAAGGAGCCCATCTCAAAATATGTGGATGACAGACAAGATGGTTCAGTGGGTAGAGGTGGTGCCTGCTGACAAGACTGATGATTACCTGAATTTGATCCCTGGGACCCCTATGATAGAGAGAACCGACTCCCACAAACTGTCATTTGACCTACACATGCGTCACCCACCCACCCACAAATGAATAAGTAAATATAAAAAGGTGGCGAGTGGTAAGGGAAGACCCTTCATGTTGCTCTCTGGCCTCTAAACGGACGTGGATGTATACACGCACACGCGCACACACACACACATGCACACACACACACACAGAGACACACACAAATATACAGGGAGGGAGAGAGAGAGATGTGAGTTTTCAGAGAATGGAGCCAAATTATCTGGGAGCCCCTGCAGGCATATGGTGAAGCCTTGCCAAGGCTGCAGAAGCACCCGCATCCCTTGGTGTGGTGGAGATAATGAGAGGGCAGTGGCAGCTCACAGCCATTTGTCTTCTGCAGAACACCCTGTTCTTGGTTTGCAAGCCAGCCAGACCCAGCTGGGTTGGCCTGGGACTGTGATGGCCAAGTCCACTCCCAGCATCTCCCAGAATCTGACTCCTCGCGCTTTGCTGACAAGAGACATCAAGGTCAGAGGTCACGGTGAAGAGCTCTGACTTCCTGCAACTGGTGTGAGCCGCCTTGTAGAGACACACAGAAACCTACGGGAAATGATCAGCCTGTAAGCACAGCAGGTCCTGATCGTCAGCTGTGTATGTGTGTGTGCACATGCGTATGCACGTATGTGCGTGTGTGTGGAGGACAGAGGTCAGCATGTGGTGCCTTCCTATTTCACTCTCTGCCTTCTTTTTCTGAGATCTCCCACTGAACCTGGAGCTTGCCGATTGATCTAGGTTGACCTGCTATGGAGCAGGATCCTCCCGTCTCTTCCACCCCAGACCTGGGGTCACAGGCCTACCCCACGACGCTGGGCTTTTGACATGGGTGCTGGAGACCTGAATTTATAGCAAGAACTTTGCTAACTGAGCTGCTGTGTGGTCCCGGATCCCCGCTTCTCCTTCCCAGTGTGTGCTCAGCTGCCACCACTCCTGGAGTCTGGCATGGGCGGAGGACGGTCCTGTGGCTAGCAGGTGGCAGGCCTCTACCTTCCTGAGCTCACTCTTGGCCTTTCTAACTTATCCTTGTCCTTCCCTTGCTCCGTCTGACGGTGTACCCTCTTCTTGTTTGTTTTTGCAGAACTGTTGGTAGCAGGAAGCATAAAAGGCACTGAGTGCTGTGGGCCCTGTGGCCCTCTCTCCACTCCACCCGCCTCCGAGTCACGTGCTGGTGGGGAGTCCAGCTGAGTAACAACCCTCGCAGCCGGGCAGCACCTTAATAGGAACTGGGCTGTGATGGAGAATGGCTTCACTCCTGGTTTTCAGGGAGAAAAGACTGCAGTATTTGGGGAGTCCTGCCTTGTGAAACACCCAGAAAGAAGGTGGCTTGGGAGAACTGTGGGGACCCTTCATGCACCTGCTGTCCCTACCACTGCCCGGCCCCTCTGCAACCCACTTTAATAATTAAACACCAGAGGAGGGTGGAGGAAAGGGGTGGGTCTCCGCGGTTTCCATCCACTTAGTCTTCTTGCTTCTTCTCCATTAGTACAGAGTAGGGGGTCTAGGAAAAAAGCAGAGGATCGCTAGGGCTAAGGGTTCGTGAGGAAGTAGAGAAAAGCCTCCTCTCCCACAAGACTTCGACCACAGCAGAGAATCACCCCACCCACCACTGCAGCATCCCCAGGGTGCATGTTGTCTGCACACAGGCCCCGGGTTATGAACCCGAGTTGGACCCAGGTGGGGAGGCCCCTTGTAGGGACACAGCTCACTCCCAGGGGTTTCAGGAGTGAGGATGCTTAAGGAGAGATTTCCCAGGAATGGGGATTGACCGAGCTCTGGGAAGCCAGGGGACTCTAGGTGGCCCCTCAGTCAGGCGCCCCCAGGACTCTGAGAAGTTTCTATCCACACGGCACTGAACTCATCAGTCTTTTTCCGGAGCTGTGGTCCATGTACATTCTCAGTGCTCTACAGCAAGGGTGGAGGAGCCCCTCCCTTGTCTCTCGGGGTCTCTGAGCAGAAGTGGGGAGGGGCAGAGGGCAGCAGACAGCCTCATCCAGGCACAGGGGAGGGGCAGATAGCCTTGCCTACCTGAAGCTCCTGGAGTCACTTGCACTGTCCTACCAAGAGAGCTCTCTTTGTTCAAAGGAGCATAGGTGGCTTGTGGCCTGGAGGGAACCCATCCGTGCAGCTGGGGTGATGGGCCACTTGGGGACATGGGCTTGGTGGAGTTAGATGCTACCCTCCAGGGTTAGTGCCACAGTCCCTGCCCTGGGATCGTGTGGCCTAGAATGAAGCTCGGTGAACTCAGGGTATGTGGCTTGCATGTAGCACTGGGTGGGCATGCTGCTCACCCCTTCCCTGCCCCCCTGCCCTCCTTGGCTTCTCGTAAAGGAACACAGCTCCATCAGGGACACATCCTTACAGGTCACGTGTAGACAGACCCAGGCAGAGCAGAAGGCATCCCAGAGCTGTGGCCAGACAACCAGGAGAGACCAGAGTTAGAGGAAAAGAACTGATAGCCACCCACCCTGGACTCCAGCCGTCCCTGGCAGATCTCACGTTGGGACATGGAGAGACAGAGAAGACACTGGGCACTGAATCTGCTTCCTCGCTGCGAGATTTAAAAATGTGTATTGATATATACTTTATTATCTGTTATAAAACTTCCTTTGGCTACACAGGCCACTGTGCGGGATGACAAATGGCACCGTGGTGGCAGCCCCCAGGGGGCCAGAATGGAACCAGAGTCCTCTTTGAAATGGGCACTGGAGATTGGGGACTAGTCAGGAGCTGCCACAATGGACCACAGTGGCCTGGAAGACACCAAGTGCGTGGTCAGATGCCCAGAGCTGGCTGGGGGTGTCAGAAAAGCAGTCAGCTACCCAGAGCGGCAAAAGGTCCTTCCTGTCTCTTGTGGTTTGCAAGGGCCAGACCCTACCCCGTTAAAGTCACCAAATGACTCATCAAAGGGACAGGGGCTTGTCTGCAGGCTACAAGACAGGCAGACAGGACTGTCTTCCAGATAGCACCATTCTCTCAGGTTTGCTCAGATGCTGCCTTGGGAGACTGAATGACTTCTTGCAGGTAGAGCTGAGGCTGCTGGCCCAGTAGTGATGACGATGACCGAGTCATGTTTGGGGAGGGATGGCTGAAGAGGAAGGAGGTGGCCTTCATCTCCTTCACTGTTGAGCTTCTGTTGAGGAGGGACCCCACCACACTGGCAAGGGCAACTTTGGTACAATGACTCACAGAAGCAGAATGGCTGGGGAACAGAGGCCACAGGGTCTGTCTACCTACAGGTGGCTGTTCAGTCTCTCGGCCACGCCTGGCAAGAGGCAGATGGTTTGTGCTAGAGGCAGCTCTTCTCCCCCGCGGCACAGGGACAGCTGCCCTGCTTCTGCCCTTTGGGCAGAGTGTCTCTGGAAGTTACTGGCCACTCTCTGCTGCGGCCTTGCCCCAGACGCTGGCCTTTCATGATGCATTCCCAGAGGGGCACTGCATCTCCATGGTGACTGTGTTAGGTGTGGTGTTAGCAGTGTCTCCGGGCTCTGCACCATCCCGTAGAGCGCGCTGGAAGACTACCCTGAGAGGTTCCCACAGGCGCTGAGACTTGTCCCTCCCAGCCAGGAAGTAGACGATGGGCTTGGCGCTGCTATTGATGCAGATACACAAGTCAGTGACGTACTCGGGGAAGGGGGCAGGGATCTGGAAGACCCAGAAGAGGAACCAATCAATCCCCAAGTAGATGGAGGACACAAGGAAGACTGAGACAATAGCCAGGACCACATGGTTGAGCTTGGCAGAGCGCTGGCGGCGCCGTGCCCGGCACTCTACATGCAGGATGAGTGCCAGGCAGGGGAGTACCATGAGTGGGCAGAAGAGAAAGAACAGCAAGATGCCCAGGGAGATGTCCATGTCGCGGCACGCTGTCCCTGAGGCCTCGCGGCCCAGGAACATACAGAAGTAGTTGTGGATGCCGGTGACCAGGAAGGACAGCAGCCAGAGCAGGGCACAGACCCCAGCAGACAGACGCTTGGGCCTCCGACGCCAGTACCAGGTGGGAAAGATGACGGACACGCAGCGTTCGGTGCTAATGGCTGGCAGGAGGCTCACACCCGCGAAGAATGCACAGAGCCCCACGATACGGGACACCCTGCGCACGTAGTCTGGGAAGGAGCCCAGGAAGGCCCCCGTGTTCAGGAGGGCAATCACAGCCTTGCTAAAGAGGTAGATCCCATCAGCGCTGGCCAAGTGCAGGAAGTAGATGGAGAAGGGTGTCCTCTTGATGGAGAAGCCGAAAAACCAGAGGACCAGGCCGTTACCCACCAGGCCGCACAGGCAGAGCAGCAGGAAGATGTAGTTTGTGATGGCAGGCGGAGGGGGCGTGGCAATCTGCTCAATAGTCAGGAAGCCTCTGCTGTAGAGCTCCTGAGCCTCACTCATACCAGGGCACATCTGTGTAGGAGCAGAGGGACACATTTGTAAGGCTGCCTGCACGTCCCTGGGCCTCAGCAGGCCTGTTCCTGTACCTGCTTCCATCTGCTACCTAGGAGGCAGGGTCTGCCGGTTCCCTGGCTATGGAATGACTGACAGAGACCAAAGCAGAAAGAGCCCCATCCAAGCTGATGCGAACACTGGTTCTCGATTCTAGAGTCTGCAGGACAGTATCACCACACAGTGACCAGACAGTGGCTCTGGGCTGCCCAAGGGTCAGCCCTGTCCAAATGTTCAAGTGCAAGACAATGGCAAACAGAGGGTAGGGTGATGGCTCAGTGCATAATGTGTTTGCTGAGTACTCTCGAGGACCAAAGTTCAGATCCCCAGTCTCCCTGTAGATGTCAGGTGGGCACAGTGACCTCCTGTGGTTTGAAAGGCAGAATGGGGATTTCCCAGAGCAAGCTGGGGAGGTTAGCTTACAGGCAGCTCTGGCTTTGGTTGAGAGCCCTAGACGCTGGATAAAGGGCCAGGGAGGGATTAGGAGACTCTGGACGTCAGCCTCAAGCCTCCACATGCACCAACATGTACACACGTGCCTGTACACAGCTGAACACACACATTCACACAGACTCACACACCATGCACCCACTCACACAATTCTTTCTTATACAACACTCCCTGCTACACACCAAATGCACACATACACCACTCTCACACTCTCACACACTCACACCCACTCACACACGACTCATACCACATATACACACACCACATCCTTATACCTCCCACACCCCCCACACTTACACACAGCACACACACATATACATCACACACTCACACACCACACACTACAAACACTAACACACACACTGCACTTACACATTCACACACACACACACCACACTACAAACACTAACACACACACCGCACTTACACACACACCACACATATACCACACATATGCCACACATACACACACACACCGCACACACACACACACACACTACATTGCCACTCCCCCCAGTTTTTAAAAAGGACTGGAGATAAAGTTTGGCAGCAGTGCTTGCCCAGCGTGCGGGAGCCTAGGGTCCAATCCCCAGTACTGAATAATAGATCATGGAGGGGATGGTAGATGTGTGCAGTCTGTTCTCGCAATTCTCTAGCAAATTGTTCCTTTAAAACACAGAAATACTTATTCCTAAAGAAATAAGATTCCTGGTAAGGGGTGGGGGATGGGACAAAACCAAAAGACCCTGGACATAGCTGGAACAGGACTCTCCCTGAGTTGGACCAGAGGGCACAGGGATAAGAGACGCTGCCCTCTACTGGACCAGGGCTGCCTTTGTTGGTTTGGGGGGGGGTCTCTGGGAGGGAGAGGCTTGAGGAGGTGGTCATTCTTCAAGCTTCCCGGGGGAGGTGGGGGCTCAGTATTTACAGTTGGGCAGGGCAGAGGAGGTCAGCGCAGTCCTGGCCCTGAGGGCTGAGCTGGGGCATAGGCGCCTGAGGCTGGGTCAGAGCTCAGAAACTGAGAGCAGAGACGTGGCAGCAAAACCAAGGACTCCTTCCTAGCAAAGTAAGTGGCCTCTCTGCTCCGGGCAGAGGGTGCGGAGGACCTGTGGACAGCGTGATAGTGTCCCTTCAATCCCAGGGAAGCCGTTCTGTATGTGACAACATGAAAGAGTTGGATATTTCTGGGTTAACATTTAAACACAACTGTAGGAGCCAAAACACGAGCCAGCTACACTCTTTTCTGTCTCAGCTCTGTTTTGTATTAATTTTTATAAAATTTACTTATCTTTATTTGATGTACATTGGTGTTTTGCCTACAGGTATGTCTGTGTGAGGGCATCAGATTCCCTGGAATGGGGGTTATAGACAGCTGTAAGCTGCTATATGGGCATTGGGAATTGAACCCAGGATCTTTGGGAGAGCAACCAGTGCGCTTAACCACTGAGCCATCTCTTAAGCCCTCTCAGCGTTGTTTTGATTCCTCTCCCTCAATAGCAAAGGTTGTCCTGTGCACACTGCTTTCCTTCCCTTCTCCCTGCAGACATCACTAATCTATCCCAGGACTTTCTCCCTAAGTTTGGTATTTGTTTTTATGGTTCAGGGAAGTAGGAAGGTTCTAGGGGCAAGATCTTTCCTGCCACCTTCCAAACGGCCTCGCAGAAAGCTGGGCCCTGAGAAAACGCTTTGTGTTGCTATTCTCCAAAGAAGAGAAGTATCCTCTGTCCTGGCTATGTCAAGAGGAGCTTACAAACTAGGGGTGCTGGCTAAACTTAGGGAGACACTGTTTTGTCAGGATAAGTTCTTTATGAGGTTCTGCTTACTACCTGTCCACCTCTAAGAATTCACTGGCTAACATCTCCAGCCCACCCCTAACCCTGCTTAGCTTTCCTTCTGCTCCCCTTTCTTGGAGTTGATCATTTGTTGCTCTGGGCCTCTGAGGGTCGACTCAGTGGACCAGGCCCAGATGCCTGCAGAGTCCTGTCCCGTAAGGACCAGTTCAGCACTGGGCGCTGGCCTGTTGGGCTGGGCAGGGCTCTTGTGTATCACCCAGCTGGAAAAAGTCTACAGTCCCCCACTGGGTGTTGGGCGGGCACTGGTGAGTCACTGGACAGGAGCTGCTATTCACAGCCCTGTACAACAGTGTGAAACACAGCTCTGGAGTCTGCTGCTGCCTCCCTCTTCTCTGGGGACTTTGGGATGCCCCCTAGCCTGCCCAGGCACTGCCTCCTGGGCTGATGACCCCTAGCATGCCCAGGCATTGCCTCCTGGGCTGCCACCATTCCACTGTGGTCTCTACAGAAGAAGGAAGGACACAGTGGGGATATGGGGTGAGGGTAGGAGTGGGGAAGGAGTCAGTTATCCTGATATAAGCCTTGGTTTTCTCTAGTCTAGGAGAAGCTGGAATAAGAAAATAAGTCAGAGGGGTTCCCAGCTTAAGAAGGGAAGTCCACACTTTTCCAGGGAGAAGCAAGGGCAGGACAGAAAGTGGTGGGTCAGCCTGGGCCATTGTCCAAGCTTTAGGTGAGGTTAGCACCATCTGCAGATTTACATCCACGGCTCATGCTCCTCGACTTGGGGCAACACTGGCCTTGGGTGGCTCGGAGTAGTACACACAACAGACATGGGGCCACCATGGAACCAGCAGAGTCTCTCTGTGTGGTCTGGCCATAGTGAATAACGATTGTCCCATCTCTGTCGGGAAAAGGGGAGGGAATGAGACCTTCCAAAGCTGATGTGCCATGACCCAAAGGTGGCATGGAAAGGGACTTCCAAGATGCCCAGTGCCTGCGTTTTCCTCACTGATGATGACACTGGCCTCAGAGAAACCAGTTAACCAGGATCAGGCCAGAGTCCAGATGTGTCTGCTGCCCACTAGCACCCAGAGATGGAGGGTAGCCTGGAAAGTGGACTGTGACCCCCTCCCAACTACACCCACCCACAGACCAGGACCTCCTGTCCACAACACTTGCCTTGTTCTGGTTGGTGGCATGAGCCTCCCAGGAGCAGTTTCCGGCCATCTTCAGGACTGCGGGGTCCAGGCTCCTGTTGGGAGCTCACAAACTATGTCTCTGCCTGACAAGAGCCTAGAGAGAGGGGAGAGTGAAGTCAGCACCAGTCCCCCCAAGAGCCTCTGCCTCCCAGCCCTCCAGCCCTAGCCCCCTCACTTCAGAGGAAGGGCTAGCCTGGCTCCTTCTGAGGCAGGGACTTTATGCCTGTCCTACCCATCCTGCCCCTCCTGTCTGTGGGCTCGCGTTCAGACCATGCCTGGCTCCTGGAGCCCCACTGCCACTCCCTGTGGAAGATGCTCTCTTTTCTCATTGAACTGCAAGGTGTCTGGGCCAGAACATTTCTAGCGATTTTCATGGTGGGTTCCCTTGCATCCGCATCTGGAGCACCTCCTTTGTGTTCTGATAAAGGTCTCTCAATCAGTCCTAGAAATGGGTGATAGAGGGCAGATTCTTTCTGGCAGAGGGGCTTCCTGGAGGAGGAGGCTTTTGTCTGGGTCTTGCTTTGTCATGGTCCTCATCTTAACTCTGGAGTGAGCATCCATCCCTCCTTTTGGTAAAAGACAGAGTCTCCGGCAACTCAGGCTGTCCTTGAAGATGACCTTGAATTTCTGATCCTCTTGCCTCCTTCTCTAGCTTACTGGGATTACAGGCTCAACCACCGCACCTGGGCTCCAGCCCAGGGCTTGGTGCATGCGAGGCAAGCATTCACCAAAGGTGCTACATCCGCAGCCCTTCATCCCCCTTTGATGGAGCACTTGGTCCCAGAGACACACTCCTAACCAGGGCACACAAGAAAACTTCGCAGATCTGTGTACATGAAGACCCTGTGGCTGCCCCCTTCAAGGTTCACTAGGAGGAAGCAAGTCGAGAGGTTGTTGTAGTGGCTCTGGGTGCCAGACTGGATGTGGGGAAGTGGGGTTCCGCCTCCTTTAGCCAATCCGGAGGCCTGGGGATGTGTTGGGTGACAAGCTAAGGCGGGGACCCTGCTTGGACTGGTCCACCCTAGCAGGCAACAGCGAATCGATAGACCCACTCTGGGGCTACTGGAATTGCGTACCCCCAGCCTTCACCCTGCCCTGCAGGCAAGCACCTACCCCTCCCACAGAGCAGGTGGGACGTTTGAAGCCGCGACTCAGGACACAGCCTGGCTAAAGGCTATTAGACCCTCCCCTCCCAGGGAAGTGGGCAGCGCCCTGCTCCACCCCTCATAAATTCTTTCCTCGAGCAGGGCGGATCCTCAGTCGCCACGCGCGTGGCCACTGTCTCCTCCCTCCTGGATATGTGGCCCTGGTAGCTACGCCCACCATTGGCTGCTGAGGGTCCCCGCAAGTGACACGCCCCCTCTTTAACTTTAGGCTGCTTTGCTTAGCAGGAGTAAAGGAACCGGGTGGGGTCCTTAGTCACACCCTCAGGCCCTCATTCCGATTGGATGGTGTACAGAGGGACACTCCTGATCAGGATTCACAGAGCCCCTTCCCGCCCCTGGCTATCCTGTCGGCCCTCTTGTGTGCATGCTCCTTTTGGTACGTTTGCACCCCAACTAACAGCGGCTCATCGTGGGACCTGCGCGGGCGTCCCAAGTGGGAGCACTTTTTTTTTTTTTTTTTTTTTTTTTTTGGTTTTTCGAGACAGAGTTTCTCTGTAGCTTTGGTGCCTGTCCTGGAACTAGCTCTTGTAGACCAGGCTGGCCTCGAACTCACAAAGATCCACCTGCCTCTGTTTCCCAAGTGCTGGGATTAAAGGCGTGCACCACCAGCAAGTGCTGTGGGAGCACGTTTTAAGTAGGCCTGAGTGATGTTTGTGCAGAGAGCTTGCAGATTGCTGGTGCCGCAAAGTGTGCCCCCCTCCTACCCAGGTGTCATTTCGTTGCTATGCAATGGGGCTAGCCCAGGTTTTCCTGGCACCTGCACCCCCAGAGGTAAACGCCCCCTGCACCCGCCGTTGCTGTCATTCTTCCAGACTCGTGTTACTCCCAACTTTCTCCCCAGTGATGCTCTGACCCAGGGAACCTTTCATCCTACCAGGCTTCACGCCAACTAGACACAGGCCCTCTGGGGCAGGTGAGTATGCTCCCTGATCACCTCCATGTCTGCTTTGGTCTTTACCCCTGGTCCCTCTCCTACCCCAGATCATTTGCAAAGTGATCCACTCACGCAAAGAGACCCAGAGGCCAAGTGGACCCCAGATGGACCATATTGAAGACATGTGTGCAACGTGTACAGGGGGATGCATGTGAGTGCATTGCTCTAGCCAGGATCTGAGCTGGGACAGAACTAACTTCACTAAACTCAAAAGGTCACCATGTCTGTATCCTTGGTCCCTCCCCTCAAAACAGGGTAGTGTTTCACCCATCTACCTGCTTGGCCTGATGGGGAGAGGGGACCAGCCCTAGGGTAGCTCCCCAACTCATTTCGCTTCTACTAAACCATAATCTAGCCTCTCCCCTCATTCCTTAGCTACGGCCTGGCCACTGCACAGGCCTTGAGGGGGGCAGTCTGCTGCAGTTCCCAGATACGTAGAAAGCCTGTGTTTCTGCCTAGGACTCAGATCCCTGCTCCCAACTTGACAGAAGAGGCTTCTCTAACAGGAGTGGAGACTTGGCAGGCCCCCAGCCAACAGCTTCATCTGAAGCCAAGGACAGGACCAGGACTGGCTAGGGCAGAAGAAGGTGAGACAATCAGCTGTCCGACCTTATGTGGCTGATCTCCAAGGGTCCCCAAAGAGCTGTCCACTGCTGTCCTCATGGCCGACGGCATGCCTGAGAGCAATGGGAACCACAGCTCTGTGCTTGGATCATTGCCCACTGGGTGTTCCCTTCAAACTCTTCCAGAAACCAGGCTTGGATGTAAGGTTGGAGGAAGGATAGGGAGCCCCCACCCTCAGGGGGACAGGGTGGGAGCTGGTGTTGGAGGCTGTCTTGGGGCTAGGGGTAAGGCCTGTTAAGTGAGTGTCAGGGGGTGCCACACAAGGGGGGCAATCTCTTAAAGCCTTCCAATATCCCTGGGATACTCTGCAGAAGGGGTGGGACAGGTCTTCAGACTGGGGACAGCTTCGCTCCAGGTCTTGGGGCTCCCTTCACAAAGAGATGGGACTTCTGCAAGTTGCTGTCGTGACAATACCCATTTCCCTGTCTTTAGGATGCCAATCTCATTTGCTAGCTCTGCCTAACCTTTACCCTGCAGCCACTGTCCCCAGTCTCCCTCCCCCAGTCCCTGGGTCCCAGAGTGCTACCTGTGGCTGTCCTGATCCTCCGAAGCCTTCCTTTGTGGAGATCTTCTCCCAGGACTCTGCGCTTGCTGACCCACGGGGCAGCAGGCTAGCCAAGTACTGCCTGGAGCCTTGGAAAATTTGGGCTCAGGGTGGAGGACGAGCCCTCACCCGCCTGGCCTGTTGGAGATGACTTTGGAAACAGAACCCGCCCCAAACCCAATTCCAGGCCCAGCAGAAGGGAGAAGGGAGGGCGGGAGGAGGAGAAAAAGGAGGAGGAGGAGGAGAAGGAGCAGGAGGAGGAGGACGAGGAGGAGGAGTTGAATAGTGGTGAGGCTAGGGGAAGGAATGCCCTGTTCAGGAGCCTCCCCCCCATCCCCACTGGGAACTCATCTCTCGCTGCCTGGTGACGTCACACTGGCCTGAGCACTGGGGCCGGAGTCCAGATGTTAACACCTCCCATATCCTGCGGCTTCAGAGGGCTGCCCCAGTAGAGGGAGCTCCAGGTTGCTCACTCGCTGGTGCCTTTGGCCTGCTTCCAGTGGGCATTTCAGGGCATGTGGTGGTAGTGGTAGTGGGGGTGGTGAGGGGCAGTGGCAAGGGAATGTCCACTCCCTTGTTTTAACTGACTCAAAGGCTGGCACAGAGAAACCAGAAAGCAGCAAACGAGGGACTCCCATGGAGAGTGGTGGAGAATTGGCAGAGAGAAGGTCACACAACCCAGATGGCACCAGCTCCCCCTTTGCCACCACAGAGTCTTCCTCGGGGCCTCCTGGGGCCTATGGAACCAGGAATTCCCTTCTCTCTAGCCCTAATAACAATCAGATGTCGCAAATGGAAAATCACAGCCCTTGCTCACTTGGGCTGAGCAGGGAAGTTGGCGAGCTACCATCCCTGGTGCGTGCGCTCCTCAGTGAAGATGAGTCAGCCTCCCTCAGAGAGGGGGTCCTGGAAAAAGTTAGTGGCCAGGGCATGGAGCCCAAGCCTGGGTGGGTACAGAGGGAACAGAGGGTTGACCATGAGGGTGGGGTGCTGAGGCCTCCTTCTGCCCTGGGCCAACTTTCTCATGACCCAAGAAGCCTGAGGGAATGAATGCCACGCTTTCCTATGGGAGTGGACGGCGCCCAGGCTGGGGGACATGTGCCTTGTGGGCATCCTGCAGTGAGCCCAGAAATGGATCTCTCTCTGCACCTGTGTTGGAGCTGCCTCCTTCTGCCCATGGAGAAACCACTCTGTCCTTTGGTCGGAACAAATCTGAGAGCAGGGAGCCTTGGACGGTTGCCCGCTTGGGGCCAGCTGGTGTCCTGGGTCTTGGTGGGGGAGGGGGACGGTGGTGGCAGGGATTTTCTGGGATTCTGGAGGCTGGGCAGGCAGCAGGGAGGATGGTGATCCAGCCTCCTCCTCCAGGGCAGGCAGCTGTGTCCCAGCTGGGCCACTTGTTTACACTGAGAGGCCGGGGGAGGCCGAATCCCAGCACTGTCCAAGTGTAATTGGGCTTGGACACTTAAAAGGAATTGTGTGAAGTGGGCAGAGGCTGTGGAGTCCACGGCCTTATTTGGTATGGAAATATGTTTCTTTGACAAACAAGAGAAGAGGTGCTTGCTAGAGGAAGCTTGTCTTATCCTGAGTTCGCCGAGTCCCAGGAGCCACTAACCCTGTCCCCTGGGGCTGCTGTGGACCAACAGAAGGCCATGACCTCCATCCAGAAGCACCTGAAGCTTCCTTCTGCAAGTGCCGCAGGCTGGACAGTCTGGCACAAGCACCGCAGACTGGCGTTGGTCACCATCATCCGGGGTCACAGACACACTTTCTGGCCTCATATTGCAAGGACCGGCAGCTCTCTAGGACCCTTTCCATGAGGACACCCATCCCCTTCAGGAAGGTTCCATGTTTATAACCTAGTTACCTCCAAAAGACCCAAGTCCTATCACCATCCCTGTTGGGGTAACCATTTTAGTGTGAGTTTTAGGGGACACAGGCAAATAGTCTACAACATCCACTTGTGTCTTCCGGTAGAAATGGGTGTGGGGAGGAGACCCAGAGGCAGGGTTCCAGCAGGGACAGCAGAGAGGACCTTGCCCCATGTGGGAGTCCCATGGCTGCCTCAGGTCCTGGAAGACCCTGGGAAAAGTCACATCTTACTTTGGACCCTTGTTTTCTTCTGGGGTGGCAGTGAGGGGTCCGATAGCTGGAGAACCACCCCTATTGGATCTCGAAAATTCTGTGTCCTGGGCTTAGGTGTGACAGGTGTCAATCACTCACTCATCAGGGCTCAGGACATAGACTTGAGATGAGCAGAAATGGGGCTGGCAGGCATGGGTTTTGTTCTTTCTAAAAATGTATTGTGTTTTTATGTATTTGTCTTGTGTGGCACTACCGTGGAGGTCAGGGGACAGCTTGAAGTCAGTTCATTTCTTCTGCCGAATGGATCTCAGTGACTGAACTTAGGTCACCAGGCTTGGTGGCAAACGCTTTACCCACTGAGCGATCCTTGCTCTTAATATCCTGCCCACATGCTTTGAAAAGCTACATCCTGTCATTAGGTGTCTTCCTGGCCCCTCCCAGTGAAAAGGAAAAAAGTTTAAATTAGTTAACCTTTTTTTTTTTCCTTTTTTTTTTTGGTTTTTTTTGAGACAGGGTTTCCTGTAGCTTTGGAACCTGTCCTGGAACTAGCTCTTCTAGACCAGGCTGGCTTTGACTCACAGAGATCCGCCTGCCTCTGTCTCCCAAGTGCTGGGATTAAAGGTGTGCACCACCACCGCCTGGCTAAATTAGTTAACTTTTAAATAGGGTTTTTATGTAGACCAGGCTGTCCCCAACTGTCTGTGTAGTCAAAGCTAACGTTGAACTCCTGATATTTTTGTCTGTACTGCCAGGTGCTGGGATTATGAGCACACACCATTACACCTAGTGGGAAATTTATTTTTAATTGTCCTCTGTTAAAGTTCATGCAGAGGGACTTAGCTGTCTATGCTTTTCCCTCTCAAGGCTTCAGGATTGAACCCTCCTCTACTGAGGGCCCCCGGGGGCAGGAGTGTAGGCAGAGACTGCTCATTTGTTTCCTGGACACTCAGGCTCAAATAATCACTGTCTGGCCAATCACTCAGGCATATTTTTAACTAACTCTTACATCTTAAATTAACCCACTTTTATTAATATATGTATCACCATGAAGCTGTGGTCTACAGGTAAACTTCCGGTGGACGCCTTTCTCTTTTGGCAGCTACATGGTCTCTCCTGATTCTGCCTACCCTCTCTCTATATCTCTGTTCAGATTTCCCACCTGACTTTGCTCTGCTAAGCCATTGGCTGAAACAGTTTTATTCATCAACCAACAAAAGCAACACATATACAGAAGGATATCCAACATATATTGTGCTGCATCCCTTTTGATGGCGATGGGCTGGTTCAGGTGGGGTCTGTGTGGAATGTCCTCCTCTCTTGACTTAACCCTTGAAGAGCTAAGGTTCTCCTGGGGAGAGCTGCCTCCTTTGTTTCCTAGGATGACCCTTGAAGCACTTTGCTTTCAAGCCTCAAGATTAAAGTCTTCTCCCGGGTCACTCTGGCTTTCCTGGTTTTGAGAGCGTGTGGGATATCTTTCTGCAGTGAGGTTGGCAGCCCAGTGAAGAAGAGCGCAGCTCAGGAAATCCAGAAGCCTCTGTTTCCTTCTGTCCTCCATGTGAGAGGCCGTTCTTTCACTTATTCATTTGTTTGTTTGTCTACCCATCCACACACCGCTCCATCCATCCACCTACCCACCCATCCACCCACCCATCCATCCATCCATCTATCCACCCACCCACCCATCCATCCATCCATCCATCCATCCATCCATCCATCCATCCACCCACCCACCCACCCACCCATCTATCCACCCACCCACCCATCCATCCATCCATCCATCCATCCATCCATCCATCCATCCACTCACCCATCCATCTATCCATCCATCCACTCACCCATCCATCCATTCATCTACTCATCCATCCATCTTTCCATCCATCCATCCATCCATCCATCCATCCATCCATCCATCCATCCACTAACATATTCATTCACTCACCTGTCCTTCCTCCCAGCCATTGCTCCTTGTGTTCATGGACTCACCCATCTATCTTCCCACACATTTATCTACTCACCCTTCTGTCCAACTGTACACTATTACATTTGTTAATTTTCTGTTGCTGTGCTAAAATACCATGGCCAAGGCAACTTATAGCAGTGTGGCAGTTTGAATGTAATTGGCCCCCATAATCTCATAGGGAGCGACACTATTAGAAGGTGTGGCCTTGGCAGAGTAGGTGTGGTCTTGCTGGAGGAAGTGTGTCACTATGGGGGTGGGCCTTGAGATCTCATATATGCTCTAGATACCACCCAGTGTCTCAGACAGCTTCCTGCTGCCTGCAAGATGTAGGGCTCTTAGCTCCTTCTCCAGCACCATGTCTGCCTGCACGCTGCTGCCATGTCCCATCATGACGATAATGGACTGAACCTCTGAACTATAAGCAGCCATCCTAGTTAAATGTTTTCCTTTGTAAGAGTTGCTGTGGCTAGAGAAGTTCTTCACAACAATAGAAACCCTAACTAAGACAAAAAAGAAAGAGTTTAGATGGACTTACAGTTCCAGAAAGTTAGAGTCCATCATGGGGAAAGGGAAGGCATGGCAGCATGCAGAAGGCACGGTGGCAGGAGCAGGAAGGGAAGGCATGGCAGCATGCAGAAGGCACGGTGGCAGGAGCAGATGAGCTCACATCATTAAATACAAGTGCAAAGCAGAAAGTACAACTAGAAATGATACGAAACCTTAAATTCTCAAAATCTGTCCAATGACATACTTCTTCCAGCAATATGCACTCCCTAAACTCCCCCAAACAGTGCCACCAACTGGGAACCAAGTGTTCAAGTAACAGAGCCTACAGGGACAGTTCTTGCTCAAACCACCAAATCTACCATCTGTCCACATACACATCTCTTGCCATCCACCCCCCCCCACTCATCCACTTATGTCTCTGTCTCTGTCCATCCATCTGTCCATCCAGCCACACATTCATACATCCACATACTAACACATTCATCCCTCACTCATCCATCCTCTAACAGACAGTAAATGGATGAATCCACACATATATGCACCCATTCATGTGTTCGTGCATAAATCCATCCATCCATCTGCCCATGCACCCATGGGTTTATTATCATCTGCATTTGACCAATGAACACCAACAATGTTGGTTCTGG